TGCCGAGCAGCATTATAAATTGGGCTTCTATTTAATTCCTCAGACGAACATTATTGCCCATTATTATTGAGTTTCCTATGCAATCTAATGGCTATATAATACTTCCAGAAAAGATTTAACTAGCCTTCTTCCGCTTACAATTAATTTATTTGCCTCTCGATGGTCTGACAGTTCAATGAACATCTGTATGGGAGCTTGATAGCTAGGGCAGCTACAGTGTGTGCTGAATGCTGTCTGCTGAACGTCTCCTCGCAACGCTGAATACATATTGTCAAGGTTCAAGGAGCAGCAGCTCTCCAGGCAGTCTGCTACCGTGTTTCCTTTATCTTTTAGGGAGAAGAAAAGGTCACAAAAGAATGCCCTTGGATTACATGGCAGGTTAGCTGACCACCTTCCGCTACCCCCATCCCACTGACCTTTCTTCTCGATGCAGGCAGGTCAGGCAGGTGACTCCAGGACACGTACCGATCCTGTACAGCCAGAGGTGGGCCACGCATGACTTCATCTCCCGTTAATTTGCCTGGACTTTTCCTAAAAATTACCGCTGGGAGACGTAGCCTTTAAACTGGCAGCGGCAGCTGAAAGTGGGAGTTTCTTGGAAGTAAAGTTGCACGCAATTAAGGAAATTTCACCTGACAAAGGTAATTAATAACTATTACTTCCAGCAATTGTTGCCGTGAGGTACGACTGACAAAGTGTCAAAGTGATTTTTGCAATGTAGTGATTTGAGCTGCTTTGTTTGCGAGGGGCTCGTTGCCGTTTTACTCTTGGATCCTTTATTTTACCTGCATTGGTACAGCAGCAAACTGGGACACCAGCAAAGTCACGGTGAACATGATATGGGCATCATTAATGCTCCATGTGGGGAACAGTGGGGTAAAACATCCATGGCAACATCTGCATCCCCACTGCAATACACCCTGGCTGAACATCACAAAACTGCCAGCATATTAATCGAATTTAAGAGGTGGCCAAAGAGCTCTTTAAATCACCATTATTTTCAGTGACACTGAAGTGCTGAGGAAGTTGCAGAAGACTGGAAAATTGCTGAAGTTGTGCCAGTATTTTGAAAAGGGCGAATTGGGAGAGCCAAGTATTTATAAGGCTGATACTGTTGCTGATTTACAGCTTGAAATTGATCCTTGGCAAAAATGTGGAACAGCTGATAAAGGGCTCAATGAATAAAAAATTACAGGAAATAAATATAATTAAAATAAATCACATGGAGGTCTTTCTTTGATTGCAGCACATGGTTCATTGCTGATGGTGATTTAAAGTATTCACTCCACAATAATGAATCTGACTTGACAACACTCAACAGTTCCATGAAAAACTGAAGAAGAAATCAATATGAGTTCAAACTGTCCAATACTTGCTAATGACTCATGGACTGGAAAAGGTGTAAATACAGAAAATTAAGTCACTTGTACAGAGAAATGAGGATGCAAACCAGCCAGGGGCATTTTAGCCCAGTGTGAGGGAAAGGCACGCACCCAGGAGCAGCAGGATGGGACCCTTGTTGCAGGCAGGGAGGCACGGCCACAACAGGGTGCATCAGGAGCTGAACATGCAGGGCTGTTCAGCATTTTGGGGACAAGCAGACGTAATTCTTACCTGTGCATGGGCTGTGTCCAGCTATGGATTT